CCCGCCAGCCCCGCCGCGCCCCGCTCCCGCCCCTGCGCGCCGCCTTTGTCCGCGCCAGCCCGGAGCCCGAGATGGAGCTCGCCCGCCGCGCAAGCGCCATTTTGTCCCAAGACAGAAGGCACCAGAGAACCTGGCCGGCCGCCTGGAGCGTGTAGGGAGACTCCGACGCTGCTCGAGGCAGAATTACTGCCCTGGGCTCACAGAACCGGCAAGACAACAGCCTAACTGCAAAGACCGCGGAGGAGCGACCCGCCGCCTCACCCCAACGCCGCGCCGCCGCGCCAGGCCTCCTCCGGCAACTGCGGCAGCGCCTGCCTCCGCCTAGCGACGGTCCGAGCTCCTCGTCGCTGATTGGCTGCTGCTCAGAGCGCGCGTCACCATTGGCCGAGAGCCCCGCCTACCACCGAGGCCCGCCGAGAGAAGTAGCGGCCGGACTGGCTCAGCGGAGCTGCCTGTCAACTCCGCCCCGGAGCGGGCGGACGGGCTATCCGGCCGGCGCTGCTCTGGGTGTTTTTCTACGCCTGGGTGTGGCTTATTTTCGCGCACCTTCTGCTTCCTGTGGTCTTAGCAGCTGTTTATCCCGACTCAGCGGGTAACAAAGTCGAACAGCGGCTAGAGGATCTCTGCATTTTTGACTCTCTTTGTACACAAAAAGGCTTTAGTGCCGGGCGTGGTGGCGCGCGTCTGTAATCCCAGCACTGATAGGCTGAGGCCGGAGAATGGTTGTGAATTCAAGACCGATGTGGGCTACAAAGTGGCAGCATGAACTGCATAGTGAAATCCTGTCTGAAAAAAAAACAAAACAGAAGGCTGTAGTGTTCTTTGGTGAGCAGTTCGGCGTATGACCGATTATTTGGTGTAGGGCACTCTAAGAAACCCCTTCTAGGGGTCGGAGATGGCTCCCTGGAATCGGCGCTTTCCTGGCGAGCGCTCGTTCTCCAAAGCCATGAACTCCCGGCCCCTGCGCTTGCTTGCAGGCGCTTTAATCCGCTGAGCTATGTGGTCGACCCTGCGGGAAGAGTTTGGGAACGTTTGGAGATATGGCTTGAGAGAGCAGGGCTGGAAAGCCTCGGGCTGTTCTGTGGGAGATTCTGGTGAGAGCTCGCAAAACCAGCAGGCTGGCAGAAATCCTGCTGCTAAAGACCAGGCTGGAGAAGTTCTGGGAAGACGCTTGGCTACTGGATTCCAGACCATGTGTGTTAGAGCTTAACAAAAAGTTTGTCTGCATTTTGCTCATGTGTAGAGACGTTGCCTGAGACTGAGATTAAGGGCAACAGGACTAACGAATCTGGCGGAAGGAACTTCAAGGCAGTGAGTTGACTGTGGAGACTGGTGGCATGGCAGCTGCCGGCGGCCTTCAGTCAGAATTATGCCGGGAGTCAAGAGCAGAGATCCTAACCGCATGATTTAAAATGTGAGTTTGGCCTGAAAGGAAGCTCCAGTAAAACTGCACTCCAAAGATAGAGCTGAGGAGGAACAGGCCAGCCAAATAGCTCAGCGGATTAAAGTGTCTGCAAGCAGGCACAGGGCCCTGGGGTTGATCCTTAAACTTGCCGTGTAGGCCCTGCCCCCAGGGTGCACTGAGATGGCAGTGGAGCCCGCGCCTGTAATCCCAGCTCTTGGGAGGCTGTAAACAGGTGGATCACTACTAGTCTGATCTAGTGAGACCCTAAACACCCTGTAGACCCTTCCCTAAAATACAAAGGAAAAAAAGAGCTGAGGAGATCTCCATTGCTGAGAAGGAACTGGAGAATAGAAAAGATGGCCTGAGGGCATCGCAGGCACTCAACCGGACAGCCAGGAGAGAGGGAAACCCAGCTTCCACTCCAGCTGGCAGCAGACCTGGGGATCATCCACATGGCATTGATTTTATTTTATTTTATTTTTTATGTATTTGACACAGAGTCTCACTACACAGGTCAGACTCATAGTGATCCTCTTGTCTCAGCATCCCCAGCATGGGGATATGGGCATGTGCCACCACGCCCAGTCTTGGTGGCTGGCTCAGCGTGCCTGAAGCGGTACTGATGTGGCACACAGTGCCAGGGATCCAACCTGGGTCCCTGCACTTGCCAGGCAGGTGCTTGGACTGCTGAGCTATCTCTCCACCCTCGCAATGGTTTTAGATACATGCAGAATGAAACAGTCATGGAGGTAAGAAGGCTTCCACCCTGATTTCAGAAAGTCTGGGCGGCCAGGGGCTGTGATGTGAAGGTGAAGCCAAAGTTGCAATGAAGACCCCAGTTTGAATAAGCCAAGGACATGGGTCATTTAAGGAGAGTCACAAGGAGGGAGCAAAACCAGCCCAACAGAGAAGTCATGAGAGCTACCACCGTGTAGGTGCCCTAAGGGTCAAGCCACCCAAGGAGCCACCTGAGCCCTTTGGTGCTCACATCTTGCCACTCTGCCTCAGAGGCTGCACGTGGGACTATAGGACTTAATGTTTGCCCTGCTGAATTTTGGATTTTCTTTGGTCCCAATTTGGATTTGCTTTATATTCTCCTATTTGTACCTTTGGAAATGAATTTTTTTTATACTATTAAATGTTGGAAGTGGGTAACTTTTCACTTGTACAGGGGCTCACAGCTAAGAGTTTTTCTTACACCTCAGAGGAGACTTGGGGCTTGGACGTTTCAGCAGTGCTGAAACTGCTAGGACTTTGGCAACTCTTGCAGCTGGACTAAATGTCTTTCATATAAATGGATGTGATGCGTCAGAGGTCAGAGGTTCCAGGGCCACATCCACCATGGTGCAGCTCTGGCCCTGCCTCCTGTACCCACCCCCTGTCTGTAGAGGAGGGCCAGACGGCCTTGGAGGAGGAGGTGTAGTGCAACCTACTGCTCAGGCAGCCCAGCAGTGGCGCCCACTAAAAGCTTTTCATGGAACAGAAGAAAAGAAAACTCCTTCCAGACACTATTCTAGAGCAATTAACTACAGCTTCTCAGACTGGCTTAAAGAAATCAGGAAAGTTGAAAGAAGTGAATTTACAAAAGAAAGGTGAAGAATGTGAAAAAGGAAGTGACTCCAAGAAAGCTGAAGTCCAAAAAGTACAGTCTGTCAGCCAGAAAAGCCATGTTGCTCTAATGCTGAAGGACCAAGACCTGAGGGATTCAAGACAGCAAGCAGCTGAAGCCTTCATACATGATTCTTTGTACAGTCCAGGAACCAACAGACTACTGTAAATAAGCTCCTGTCTCTTGGCAATAAGAGGTCACCAGTGAAAAAGGGTGTAGCCGTTTCTGAATACTGCTTGGGCAATCTAAAGCAAACAAAATGCCAAGCGGTTTAAAAAGCATTGGATGGTCAGAAGAATGAAAATGACTAAGAGGTAAATTAAAACTAAATGAAGGGCTGGAGAGATGGCTCAGTGGTCTAAAGCACCTACTTGAAACAAGCTTGGCAAAGCACAGGGACCGCTGTTCGATGCCCCAGCACCACATGCCAGCCAGCCCCGCCCCCTTGTGGGCTGAGCTGGCCACACACACAATAAATAAATGTAATAAATAAAAAAAAAAAAACTAAATGAAAAGTCTGTACAGTCTGTACTTCATTTGTAAAAAATTTACAATAATTTAGAGGGCTAAACTCTTTAAATAAATAAATGGATGTGATGGGTCTTATGGGGGCCAGGGACAGAATGTTATGGTTCTAATGTAATATAATGTTGATAGACAATACTGGTTGTTCAGGATTGTTAAACTTGCGTTATAATGTTCATATTAGGAAATTATAAGAATGAGAATGTCTTTGTATCTGGAAACTGATTTAAAGAAATGTGTCTATGGGCTGGGGAGATAGCACAGTAGAATAAGCACTTGCCTGGCAAGCGCAGGGTCCTGAGTTCAATCCCCAGTACTGCCATAAATAAATAAATAAAATAAGAAATGTGCCTGGTTGGCAAGTTGACAAGGGGTAAATCGCAACGGCTGACACACTGTGCCAACTTGAGAAGTGTCACCTAAGTAACTCACAAGTTCTGCATCCTAGGATGGACAGGGTATGCCCTGGGGTGGTCCTTTATGCTCTAGGATGTTTCAGGCTGTCTCACTGTGTAGAAGTTTAACCAAGCGACTCAGCAGGGAGCCAGGGTAAACATCACCGGCTTTGCGCACATCCTGAGCCTGTACCAGGAGGGTTCAGAGAAGGTGTGGGTGCTATGCTCGCCCTGGGGCAGGTAGCAGGCTTACTATATAAGAATAGGAAAAGAGGCTTGCTTCCCTGCCCTCCTGTTTTTGCTCTTGTTGCTTTTGCTGCAACATGAACAGTTGCCCCTCTAGCACACCACCATGGCACGGAGCCAGCTGATTACAGGTTGAAACCTCCACAAATTGTGAGCCAAATAAACCTTTCCTCTCTTAAAAAAATAAAAATAAACACTGTTCCTCCTTGGGCTGAGACCTAATTTAGATTCCTCTATGATCAAAGCTCATCAAGCCAGGCATGGTGATGCATGCCTGTAATCCAGCACATGGGAGGCTGAGGCAGGAGCATGGCCATAAATTCCAGGCCAGGCTGGACTATACAGTAACTCACAGCCAGTGTGAAGCACATAGTGAGACCCTGGCTCAGAAACAAACAAATAGGGGCTGGTGAGATGGCTCAGTGGTCTAAAGCACTTACTTAGAACAAGGACAAGCTAAGCTAAGCAAAAGCGCAGGGACCGCGGTTCAATCCCCAGC